GGCCGCCGGTTTCGAGGCTTCTAGCTGTGCTCTAGCCGCCAGTGAGATGCAATGTGGATACGGGGACTTGAGCTCATGCTCGCAAATGAGCCAGGCCGCCTATCGGTATACAGCTGCGAGAGCTGCTGGCTATCCGGGTAACGCGGGAACCACGAGTACAGGAAGCACCACGCCGCTGGGGGCCCATCACACCACCCACTCTCATGCCCACGCGCACCACGGGGCCCATACAACCCCCTGCTCGGTAATGGCCGCCAGATCTCAAGAGGTCCACCGGCACGCCGCTTCGATCTTTCCCTCGGCCATTAATTTGCAGAGTGAGTGCAAACTTGATTCGATTGCTCGCTCGGAAGGGAGCGATGGACGGTGATGGAATATTTTATGAAACTTAATTTTTCACTTTGTTTTTATTTTAGATACCCGTTTTAGATATCAATTGCCTGTTGTTCGGGATTTTTGTAATTTTTTGTAATTTAACCTAACGATGGAATTCAGGGACGATTTGCATATTTTTACGCCATTCCTTGAGTGCAAATATTAAGTGGGAATATTCATTTTTGCGTATTAATTGTTAGAAGAAAAATTTTATCACGTTTAGTCGTTACATTGGTTTCTTTCTTTCATATTCTTACACCAATCTGTAATAATTCTTTGTTTACTGCGTGTAGTAAATATTGTTTATGATGACATTACCTATCTATTTATGATATTTATTAGCAAATTAAATTACTTACATGTTTATCGTTCGTTGTTCAAAAGCAAGAAAATTTAACGTATCTTGTAAAAGACACGCATATTTAGGATCGTATAATTTTTATTTTATTGCCTATAAAAGAAACGAGAAAAGTGAACAGTTTGTTACAACGATAAATATCAATTTGGATTTTATTATCCTTCATAAATCATTATATGAGCTCCTTATTAAAAGGATAAAAAATTAACGCAGTGTCTTATTCAAACATTTAAAACTTTCATCGCTTTCTTTATGCATAACTATTCAACGTTATCACAATCTGATTTTCTCATTTATTAAAAGTAGTTATTAAATATTAATTAAGACTTAGTCACGAAGACATCTAATTCCGCATTTACAAATTCCAAAAAGAAAAAAAAAAAATCAGAAAATACAATTCCAAAACGAGTTCCATTTGGAACAATGAATCTAATCAAATCTCCTCGTTGATCGTTGAACTACCATTCCTCGACGTTGAACGAAAAATCAAACACTGTACATCGTTAAAACGATAGGAATTTACGGAAGGGCAATCAATTAGAGGCATAAGAAGACAGCATGCGCGGGCGGAGCGAAGAAGGGAAGCTTATTCCGCAGAAAAAAGAGGGTGGTCCTTCTTTTCTCAGGGGATAGTTGCCATGCGATGGTTCGTCTCCATGCTCGAACCTACCACCGTGATATTTCCTCTGGAAACGACGACAAGATGGCACTGAAAATCAATGGATGTGTCTCGTACTCTCTTTCCTTCTCTTCCTTTTTCGCATTCTTGCCTCTCTTTCTCACTCTTTCCTCGTCATTCCCTCATTTGCTGGCTCGTTCCTCTTGCACCTAACTCCGCTCTGTCTCATCCCACTGTCTCCTTCACCCCTAGCTTCACTACCTCTTCCTCGTCCTCTCTCCCTTCACTCACTCATTGCTATGGTTACCTTGCTCGCTATCGCAGCCATTCTCACCTATATTCTATAATCTATAAGCTGCTCCCTCCCTTGCAAGCATCAAACCTTCAGAAACCTTCCATTCTCTAGCCAGAGTAATTCGACCACACTGATTTTCTTCATGTTTTATCAATCTTGACAGCATGTGGCTAACTTTAGAAACTGTGTTGTTGATTCTTGAAGTTTACACTTTGACTTTATTGATTAAGAGAATATTTGCATAATTGATTCAGGAGGTAATCGTTATTAGATGAAACTTTTATAGTATTTCATTTTTATTATTTTTTTTTTTTTAGAGATCTATTGATCTCTAAAGATTTAAACTGTGTGTGCATGAAAATCAATATTGTTTAATTCTTGTTAATAATTAACATTTATTCCTGTAATTTAATTTCAATTTATCATTTTAATATAATTCAATACAACAAGTTTTTAATTGATATCTAAATTTCAACTTCTTCTCTTTGTAATTTTCAGGTGGATTAGGATACAAAGCCTATTCAGGGCACGATGGTTTGGCGGAGAAGAGGAAACAACGTCGGATACGAACAACCTTTACATCGGCTCAGCTTAAAGAATTGGAGCGTGCCTTCCAGGAGACCCATTATCCAGATATCTACACCAGAGAAGAAATCGCTATGAAGATTGATCTAACGGAAGCTAGAGTTCAGGTAAGTGATTTGATTGCATAATCTTTAATTATAATTTAACATCTCTGTACAACAACAAAATACAAAACTCCAAAAACTCTAACAAGTTTCCTCCATAAATTTCACACACAAAGATTACATAAAGATTCCAATCAAAGAAGAATTATGAGAAATAGAATAATCTTTCCTTTCGTTGTTTTCTCTCTGTTTAAATCCTTGTTTTGGGCTTCGCCTAAAATGGAGGACCGGAAACGAAGATACAATGGCGATGGCGGAACACGAAGTGCGCCGTGTAATTGCATTACAAGCCCCCCAGTTTTCGTTTTCACGGTTATACACCGTGTAAGTTGATGGATTATACCGTCTAATGCACGTGACGGATTAACTTAAACTTCTTGCATGCCGGAGATTCAAAGGGGAGTTGTCTTACTATGACGCGTAAATCGAACGCGCAAAATTTATGATCCAATCAACGTGTTTTACATTTTCGTCGGCTCACCCTCACGAGCTTTTATAGATAACCAATTCTCTTTCAACTTCTGGACGCGTCGCACGTCCATTCCTCAATTCTTACTCTCTCTCTCTTCCCATTTATTTTGCCTCCTCGATGATAGATTTCGATCATCCTCTTTTATACTTACATTTTATTCTATTATAAAATATATATTCTTGAAATATTCCTTATCCAATTATTAACCCTCGTTAACTTTCATCAACGTGATACGATTCTTCTTTCTTTCATTATATTCCTCTTATTTCAATATTCGACCAATAATTCGTAACCTTGAACATTTCCCGCATTAAAATTTCCTTCCAAGTGAATTCCTTTTCAGAAACGATTCATCCTATCTGTCTATTCCTAGAGAATTCTATTTCCCGGATTATTCATTAATCTATCCTATTGTCGATCAGTCAAATTTTCAATCCAATTGGAAATCCTTTCCCAATGATTAGATGGATAGATTCAAGATGAATGAATCCCTTCCTTCCTGTATCATCGATGCATATTTCAGGCGAAATGTTTGATTTCGAACCAAAAATAAACGGCCGCGATAGTTCGAAGATTCTATCCGGAAGCGAGGTCTTCCGCTTCTGTATATAATAATAATAATAATAATAATAATCATACTTGCACTACGTCGGCGAAAAATAGTAGCAATCGCCTGCTACTTTATGCTGCAAGTGCATCGAACTTTCGGATTAAATTCATTACATCCATCGGCCAAGTGACGGCGATTACTCGGCGAGCCGACAATGTGAATGAATGAATCTCTTTTGCCACGTTTTATTAAGTAACGTAAATTAAATTTTGGAACGATTCAGTTGGAGATGATCTTTTTATTTTAATATTTCTCAACAATCGAGGATTTACATGAAGGTAACGACAAAAAATTGTTGTAAAATATTTACACGAATATTTAGTAAAAACATTAGATTAATTTTATTATTATGTACGTATTTTATTTAGGTTATGTATTTTAGATTAATTTTATTATTCGTATGAATTTTTTTTTGTTTATTGATAAATAATTTTGAAATGTTTTTTTCTTTTTTTGAACAAATCTCACGTTTTGATATGGAAAATTACGAAAGTTACGAAGCTCATACAAGTTTAATATCGTAAAATTTCGTATTTCCCTAATTACGAAACGCGGCGTTTCACTTTCGACACTTATTGCCGACCGAGTAAATTCAATTTAGCCACCTACTTTATTGCGCGTGATACTAATCATTGATGCCCCTGTAACATTTTGAATTGAGCGTTGCGAAATCGCATTACTACGGGGAAAATGTAATTCGATCGATGGAAAGGATGAAAAATAATATATCGGAAATAGAAACAGAAAATAAATAATTTCCTTCGATTTTTACAGAATTTTGTCGTCTATGCAAAATCTCGAATTATGTTTCGCAATATAAATACAACTTCTATACGATCTAATTCTTCGAACGAATAAAAATCTTACTTAAGATTTTTTTCCAATTTTATTAACAAAATTTTCACTTAATCAAGATTTTCAAGATTTTATTTAAAAAGAGTTGCAGAAAGAATCGTGAATAATTGCGGTAAATACGTAAATAAATATCCCGGTTAATTCAGTTGGAAATCATAAGCATGAATGTATTATGCACACATGATAATTAAGTACGAAGTTACTATCAATTTTCTAGTAGTTTGCGGCGTCACGGGCCGACCGCCATTTCTAAAGAGGTTCTCCGTGACGGAGGGTAGTCAGGTCGAATCTTCCCTAATTCGTGCTCTTAGCCTCACCCCTGAGATGCTTTGTCCATTTATTCATTTATTAGGTTCTTATTTATCTCTTCCTTCTTTTATCTTTTTTTCAATGTACATTGCGTGTTGCAATTGTAATCTTTGAATCTTTCCTTTTTATTGGCCTTATATTAGTAATTAATTAATTAGTAAATGTATATAATAACGAATGATATTTATCATTAACTTTTTTATCACATCCTTGGTAAATTTCATTATATTTTTTTTTTTGCTATTTTAATTCTATCAAAAATCAATTTCGATTTTTAGTGCTGCATTGAACGTGTTAACGAGCTAATTAAAAATTAAAATCATCAAGAAAGGAATGTTCATTTTTGAACGATGAAGAAAGGGACCATGTATGTATGATAAACAACGAGTGAGAAAAAAGAGACTGTTAAAAATATTAAAAAAAAAAAAAAATTCATCAGCTTTATCAAGAAAGGAAGTGGAAACGACAAACGAGATTTTGAAGCTACCGATTAAAAAGTTCGAATCACGTTACAGTCACCCCTTATCCAAGGACAAAGCTACTTCATCATTCCCCATAAATCAACATCTTGGACGGAGGAGTTGATCTGCTCAATTCGGTAGCATTATGTATGCTCGCAGGTTGCCTAGAACGTTAATGGAGTTGTAATTCATACGGAATGACATGTGAGTCAGAACTATGAAACGTGTCGCCACGCGACACGCTGCACACCCTCTCTCTGCCCATGGTGTCATCAATGGGATGTAGCGGATAGAATAGCTGGGTGAACGAACTGGTGTCGGTCTGCTGAACCAACAATCATTGCTCCTGCGAGGTCGTAAGGGTCTGGATTCAATTGAAAGAAATGGAACGATCTGGCTAAGCGCGATTAATTCTGGTGGTGGATACGTTTCCAATTACTTGTAGTGTTCGGTGGTGGTGGCATGCCGCACCTATTGCAAAGGGAAGAGGAAAAATATAAGGAAATAATTACTTTATTTAGAGAAATTATTATATATTATAATTCAATAGATTGAGATTCAAAAAAGAGTGAAAATAATGAATAAATGTGAAGCAAAGCAATATTCCTCATTCATGAATGTTTTGACAATATTAAAATGATTAGGATTAAATTTATTCTAACATTCTAATCTTAAGTTTGATAAAATTTTTATTATGTAGTATTATGTATATTTTTCAAAGTGTCTTTTTTTCAATTTATAATAAAAAAAGAGAGAGAGAGAGGAAATAGGAAAAATTGAGTAATTTAGAGACAGAGAGCCTTTGGGAGAGGTCCTGGAAAATCAACATGAATTTCTTTTTCCCTGTGGGACACAGTCGAGCACCGTCACAGGAAGCAGAAGGTCGGTTCTAAGGGGGTGATTGGGCAATAGTCTCTGATGAAGGGTCTTCGTCGGCGAGAAGAGACAGTATATTCAAAAAAATGGCAAGGAAAACATACTTGAGAAAAGTAGAAAGAAAAATAAAAATAGAAAAGAAATACAAAGACTTCTATTAAAATCTAGATATAAAAGAAAAATAAAGGCATTCTCTTTGAAAGCAGTATATACAACAATTTCTCTTCTATCCTATATATTAAATAAATACATCATTACACAATAAAAAAAAGAAGCAAAGCAATAATTCCACAATTGGAATGCTTATATGGAATTTAAACAGAAATGATTGTCTTCTTTCTTTACAATTGACAACAAGATCATCACATCTTGATACTTTATCTTAGCTTACTTTTTTGATTTACAATTTTACTTACAATTATTTTAATTATTATTAAATTATCATCATATTCAAATTATTCATCTATTATCTCAGATTCCAAAAAAAACAGACATTAACGAGTACGTTTCTTGGCAGCAGAGAGAATAAAAATAGGAGAGCAGAGGTTTGGAAAGGAAGCAGAAAAATATATTCAGACAAGAGAAGAAATAGATAATAAAAGATCGTAGGAAAGATCAAAACGACGAATAACACTTCCAACTCAGAAGGATCTGAGTTGGGAAGGCAAGGAGGGAGGATGGTTGGCACGGCATCGAGGGATGAAATGGGGAAAACATTGGAGCTCTGGCTCGACTCTCGTAGGCCGACGAGGGTGGCTGATACACAAGGGGCCCATGGACGGAGTGTGCCCTGGTAATTGCGAGCTCTATGTAGATCCACTTACGGTGATTAAAAACTGTCCTGCTGGGTATCATCTACGGAGAACGACGTTGGGTGTTGCGAGAACACCGGTGCACCACCCTGTATCCCCCGGTATTTCGCCGGAACTTCTTCGACCCTGGCCTGCATGTTATCGTGCTGATAGCTCAGATTAAGCTGGATAATTGGCATTAAAAATGGGTTTAACTGGAGAATCGCGAAAGAATTGTGATACTCGAGAGTTGGAGGGGCGTTGAAACGATACTTGGAATTTTTACTTGGAGATGGAGAAGATATGATATTGTATATCATATCCGAAAGAAGCAATGTGGAATCTTTTACTTTTATTGGAATTAAAAAGTATGCATAATATTAGAAAATATCTAACGTGTGTGATACAATGTGATAGAAGAACTTTAATCGATAGTAATTAATACATTCATACGAATGATTTTGAACATATACGTTATAGAAATTCCTTATCCTATGATTGACGATGCATTCATGATTGTGTCATGAATTTTTCTATTTGAATTTTTTCTTCTTTTATATATGCTATCAGTAAATATTAATATTCATAATTGTTTTAGATTTGCATTTTTATAAATATCGTTTAAATTT